CGTGCACCAGTGGGGTCCCTCGGCCTAGCCTGCAGGATCGGGCTGAAACCGGCACTCCGGCATCCCTCAAGTGGTCCTGGATTGCGAGAGGGTGCAGGCTGGGCCAAGGAACCCCACCAGTGCACAATCAGGGCTGGGGAGACACACAGGAGGGCTCCAGGGCGTGTCTGGCCCATCTTGCTCAGTCCTGATCAGCCGGACCCCAGCAGCAAGCTAACTTACTGGTCGGAGCGTTTGCCCTCTGGTGGTCAGTGCACGTCATAATGAGCAGTTGAGCGTCCTTAGCTTATCATTAGCATATTATGCTTCAATTGGTTGAACGGCCGACCAGACACTTAGCATATTAGGCTTTTATTATATAGGATAGAATAGATTACTGAAAAAAACTTAAACCCAAATCTAATTAAGCCTCTAGATCTAACTACCAATTTATAGTAAATATGGAGAAAAAGGAACAAGGGAAAATCACCCAATGAGTAAACAATTGGCCAAATACAGAATGTGGGAAATTCTATAGAACAAAGGACAAACCAATAGCATTTAAAACTTGGTGAGGGGAGGCAAATTTAAAAGAGATTTAACAGACAAAACTGTAGCCCTGGCTGGGTCACTCAGTTGGTTAGAACGTTGTCTGGTACACCAAAAGGTGGTGGTGGGGGGGTTCGATTCCCAGTCAGGACATATACCCAGGTTGTGGGTTCAATCCCCCATCGGCATGTACATGAAGCAACTGACTGATGTTGCTCACATCGATGTTTCTCTCTCTCCCCCTTCCTTTTTTTAGAATCAATGAAAAACATATCCTCCGGTGAGGATTTTAAAAAAAGAGAGACAAGCCGAAACCGGTTTGGCTCAGTGGATAGAGCGTTGGCCTGCGGACTGAAAGGTCCCAGGTTCGATTCCGGTCAAGGGCATATACCTGGGTTGCGGGCACATCCCCAGTAGGAGATGTGCAGGAGGCAGCTGGTCGATGTTTCTCTCTCATCGATGTTTCTAACTCTCTATCTCTCTCCCTTCCTCTCTGTAAAAAATCAATAAAATATATTAAAAAAAAAAAAAAAAGAGAGAGAGAGAGACAAAACTGTTATGGACTGAATATCTGTGGTCTCTCTCCTCCCCAAATTTGTATATTGAAATTTTGACCTGAAATACGACTATATTTGGAGATGGGAGCTATGAGGAGGTGAGAAAGTTTAATTATCTCATAAATGTAGAGCCCAGCCGAAACCGGTTTGGCTCAGTGGATAGAGCGTTGGCCTGCGGACTGAAAGGTCCCAGGTTCGATTCCGGTCAAGGGCATGTACCTGGGTTGCAGGCACATCCCCAGTGGGAGATGTGCAGGAGGCAGCTGGTCGATGTTTCTCTCTCATCGATGTTTCTATCTCTCTGTCTCTCTCCCTTCCTCTCTGTAAAAAATCAATAAAACATATTTTAAAAAAAAAATGTAGAGCCCAGTCTGATAGAGCTGGTGTCCTTGTAAGAAGAGAAATACCGGAGATGTCTCTCTCCTCCTGTGATGACACAGCCATAAGGGCCAGCTCTCACCAGACACCGACCTTGCTAGCACCTTGATCTTCTACCTGATCTTGGACTCGTAGCCTCCAGAACTGTGAGAAAATAAATTCCTGCAGTTTCAGCCACTGGTCTATATTTTGTTATGGCAGCCAGAGCAGATACAGCCACCAAATATAACATATGGACCTGCTTTTTATTCTGATTTGAGCAAACAGACAAACAAACAAACCCGTAAAATAACATCATTGAAACAAGTGGGAAAATTTTAATATGGGCTAGGAATTAAATATTATTACGGAATTATTGTTTGTTTTGTTAGGTATGATAATGGTATTGTGGTGTTTCTTAAAATATGATTTCATTGATTTGAGAGGAAGGGATAGGGACAGAGAGTTAGAAATACTGATGAGAAACACCAATGGGTTGCCTCACCACCCCCAACAGATCAAGCCTGAAACTCGGGCATGTGCCCCCACCGGGAATCGAACTGGCAACTTCACCTCAACCAACTAAGCCACATCAGTGGCTGGGCTGTGGTTTGTTTTTGTGGGGGTTTTTGTGTGTGTGTGGTTTTTAAATATATATATATTTTATTTCAGAGAGGAAGGGAGAGGGAGAGACAGAAACATCCATGATGGGAATCACTGATTGGCTGCCTCCGCCCCCCCCCCCCCCCATGGGGATAGAGCCCACAAAGAAACCCCGGCATGTGCCCTGACTTGGGAATTTAACTGTGACTTCCTGGTTCATAGGTCAATGCTCAACCACTGAGCCACGCCAGTCAGGCTGTGGTTTGTTTTTTAAAGTCCTTACTTAATAAAGATGCTTTCTCTACTCAGTCGTAAAAAAAGAAGGAAATTTTACCCTTTGCAATAGCATGGGTTTGTAGGGTGCGGCTATAGGGTTAAGTCTCGGACTGACCTGTTGGCAAAGCCACAAACAAGTCACAGCTTAGAGGGCACAGCCCTCTTAGCATAATTAGGCTTGACCTTATCACACTCCCTAGATCTTATCTGGGAAGCTAATGGGCTGAGGGAGATGCAGCAAGTGCTGCCAAAACAAGTGAAACTCAAAGAACACTGTAACTATGGTGACCAATACCTTGTTTACATCTGGCTATAAAATAAAGGCTCAGCTTGCCTCTGGATCTCTCTCTGTGGCCTCAGCCAGGCACAGGAAGATCCATCTAGACCAGCCGTGGGCAAACTACGGCCGCGGGCCGGATCCGGCCAGTTTGAAATGACTAAAACTAAAAAAAAAAAAAGACCGTACCCTTTTATGTAATGATGTTTACTTTGAATTTATATTAGTTCACACAAACACTCCATCCATGCTTTTGTTCCGGCCCTCCGGTCCAGTTTAAGAACCCATTGTGGCCCTCGAGTCAAAAAGTTTGCCCACCCCTGGGCTAGACCCAGCTTATTCTCTTTGTCTGTCATTACTTCATCCTTCACTACCCTCACTCAGGCTTTCGAACCCTTGGCTGAGCTGGCTCGGCACATGGGTAGACCTGGAGAGCATTATGCTAAGTGAAATAAGCCAGTTAGAGAAAGACAAGTACCATATGTGTTCACTCATATATGGAATCTAATGAACAAAATGAACTAACAAGCAAAACAGAGACAAACTCATAGATAGAGAGCAGGCTGACAGCTGGGGTGGGAGTGGGTTTCTGGTGGGTGTGGAGGGATTGAGAAAAGAGGAAGAGAAAAAATTCATGGGGGAAAAAAAGATACTTTCTGAATTACTTATGAGTAAAATATAATGCCTGGGATCTTCTTTAAAACACTTCAAAAAGAGAGAAGAAGAAAAAAAAAAAGAGAGAGAGAAGAATGCCCGGCTGGCATGGCTCAGTGGTTGAATATCAACCCAGGAACCAAGAGGTTGTGGGTTCGATTCCTGATCAGGGCACATGCCCAGTGTGCGGTGTGCAGGAGGCAGCCAATCAATGATGTTTCCCTCTCATCAATGTTTCTATCTCTCTATCCCTCTCCTTTCCTCTCTCTCAAATCAATTTTTTTTAAAAAGAGACGAAAGTAGGTGGGAGGATGGGTTTTGATAAAATGTATTATCTGTACAAATAGCTGATGGGTATATAGGGGTTCATTATACCATTCTCTGTACTGTTGTGTATCTTTGAGATTTTTCCATAACAGTATTTTAGAAGAATGATGAGACTTAAGTATCATACAACGTATGCTAATAAAGTATATTTGTCAACAAACGTTTTAAAGTATTTGATAACATGTATAAATGTATATTAGCAAAATTATCAATGATCTCTGATTCTGGAGGGAAGATTCCATGCCCTCCCCTCCTCACACACACACCCAGTTTGCTGGCTCCCTGGATCCCCCTGGGGGGGGGGGGGGTTGACAAATCTGCCAAGAACCTTCTTGAGAACAGAATCTACATCATATCACTTTTGTAACCCTTACAGGGCCATCTCAGAGATTCTGATTTAATCTGCCTGGAGTAGGACTCAGTATATTTTATCTTTTTAAAAATTGATTTGAGAGAGAGAGAGAGAGAGAGATTGGCTGCCTCCTGCACACCGCACACTGGGCATGTGCCCTGATCAGGAATCTGTTGCCTCTCATACTCTCCTAAAGCATGAGAGGAATTGAATCCCCAACCTAGGTATGTACCCTGAACGGGAATTGAACCCGCCACCTCCTGGTGCATTGGACCAACTGAGCCACACAGGCCAGGGGGTGGTTCCAGTACTTTTCAGAAACTCCCAAGAGAATTCTTATTTGCAGCCTGTAGGAACTACTGGGCCCTAAATTTGTTCTTGGTGCTAATAAATATTTATAGAGTCAGTGAATAAATTAACAAAGGGGCTCCCTTGATAGTCACAACAACGGAAAGGCAGATGGGAAACAGTGTACACATTTTACGGCTGAAAAAACAGACTGAGAGAAAAGGGCATCCCCGCCCCACTCCAGTGAAACCAGCAGCTCTGGGAGATACTCCTCCACACTGGCGAGAGCCATGGTGCCCAGAGTGGGTGTGGGGAGCAAGAATGGAGTTGTGCTGAGTCCATTTCCCTGGTCCTGCGGGTGATTCTCGCTCAGTGAGGCCGGTGGTGGGGAAGAGGTTCTGGGGAGGGAAGGTGCAGGCCTAGGTTGGGGTTGACCTGATGCTCAGGGTGTATTTTTTACATAAAATCGCACAAAACTGAGGGGAAGCCTAGGACTCGACTCCTATCCTCCCCACTCCGCTGCAAGCCTGTGGAGCTCCTATATATCCCCGTCAGACCTTCCCTCTTCCTCTTTTTTTTAAAAAATATATTTTATTAATTTTTTACAGAGAGGAAGGGAGAGGGACACAGAGCCAGAAACATCGATGAGAGAGAAACATTGATCAGCTGCCTCCTGCACACCTCCTACTGGGGATGTGCCCGAAACCAAGGTACATGCCCTTGACCAGAATCGAACCTGGGACCCTTGAGTCCGCAGGCCGACGCTCTATCCACTGAGCCAAACTGGTCATGGCGACCTTCCCTCTTCTTGCTTTACCCTCCCCTACCATCTCCGAGCCCCCGCGAAGTGGTGGACCTCTGGGCCTCACCCCGAGCTGGCCAATGCTTGCAATGGGAACCGTCTGGTTTCCCGCTGTCCCTGCACCCACTCGAGCACAGCACACCGTTTGGTGACTACAGGGCCTGCGCATCCCCAGGTGCCATAGGGAAGGGGCTGTCAGAAAGGCCAACGCGCTTGAGCGCAAGAGCCCTCACTTCGCTGATGGCCGCAGCACACGGGTGGGGCTGGAGGCTGGTTTTTGACACAGTGTGAACCCCGCAAAGGTGGGGGTGCCTAGCGAGATAGAGATCTGGGAGGGAAGTTTCTGCTCCGAGGCCCTGGAAATCACGTGGCCTTACAACTGCCTTAAGGCCTGGTGCCTGGAAACCCCCGTCTCTCTTCAAAGCCCCGCCCCAAAACTCAGGGGTTTTTGTGTGAGTTTTGTTTTTTCACTGGTCAGGGCTGGAAGACACAGCAGCGATAGTTTCCTTTCAGCCGACCCCACTCGCTTTACAAATAAGGAAACGACTCCTATTGGGGAAATGACTCGCTCAAGTCTACACAGCAGTGGCCGGCTGATCCGACCCTTAGAATCCACCCATGTAGCCCGCTTCCCCGCCCCGGCTACCTGTTGCCATGGTGATGACTGCAGGCTCCGGCTGAGACTCGGACTGCGGTAGCAGGAGGCTGGAGAGGCTGACGACCGGGCTGGACACACTGACCATGAACCAAGTCCCGTCCAGGGCCCGCGGGCAGCTCTGCTCCGGGGCCAGGCCCCTGACCCACTTGGCCGGGGCGGGGAGCGGGACGTAGCGGCTCATCTCGCAGTGCGGCGCGGGGGCGCTGGCGGGGTACCGCCTGAAGGCCGACTGCAGGGCGCCCGCAGGGTCTGCGAAGGCGGGGAGGGCAGAGGGGTCACTGCTGGGCAAGGGCTGGGGAGGACCGTGTCCAGGGAACTTCAAATGCACAAACTACCCGGCAGGGAGCGATCCGCAGAAACCAGACTCATTTTACAGAGGAGGAGCCGAGCTCGAGGTCGCGCGAGCGGAGGCGGGGAGGTGGAGGCGAGTCCGGGAAGACTCACCGCGCACTTGGAGGTAGAGCTCGGGGTCCAGGTCCGGCCGGGGCGGCGGTGCCCCCGGGCCCTGGCGCAGCAGCAGCGCGGCCGGTCTCTTGGCCAGGCGGCCTCCGCCCGCGTCCTCCACGAGCCAGCACTCGATCACGGCCGGTCCCGCCGAGACCGCGCTCGCCCAGCCTGGGTAAGAGGGGCGCGCTGAGGGGCGGCTCAGGAGGCAGGTGCCCCGATCTCTAGGGACTTGTAGGGGCGCGCGGCGGGGTCACCTCCCTTCGCTTCCCCCGCCCCCCCCCCGTTCGGTTCCAGGGCAAAGAGGCGCGGGGCTCGCTCACCCAAAGCCACAGCGAGGAGTAGGGACAGGGGCTTCATGGCGCCGCGATCTCTTCAGCCCCAAGCCTCCAGTTCTCCTTTCACTTTCTCTTTCCGCCAACTGCCAGCCGGAGGGCGGAGGAAATCCCCGCCCGGGGCGGGCGCGGGCGCGTGGGCGGCAGGTGCATCCTTCGCGGGAGGGGAGGACGCCAGACCGCCGCTCCAGTGCTGGTCCGGGGTCCGCTGCCCCGCCCCACCCCGCCCCCCCCACCCCCGGCCGCCGCACCTCTGAGCCCGAGCCCAGCCCAACCCTAGGCTCCTCCTCCCGCCTCCTCCCCGCAGAATCCACTTCCTTGAGAACCATTACCCCGCCTTCCCCTACCTGTGCCGGGTCCCCAGCAAACACATAGGGGTTGTGGGAAGCCAAGTGAAACGACCAATAAATATTTTAATCACCGTTTAAAAAAAATAAGATTTAAAATAAAAACCTTGTACTCCTACGACTCCCTCCCTCCCTGTCTCCACGAGTTGAGGGGCCCCAAGGAAAGGGAGTGATTAGGGTAGATTTAAGGAGCACATCCTTGGGGGAGGGGTCTCGGACAAGGATGGGGCTCCAGGCCTGGTCCCCACAACAACACCGACTTTACAACCACCTGACCCTTGACCCTGGGACTCCAGGAAGCTCAACAGGCGCCCTCTCCCTCCCCCCACCACGTGCGCCCTGTTCTGGAGCCCGGGCTTCGGTGCGCCCTGAGGGAGAGGAAGGGCTGAATTTCCGGATATTGGAGGGGGAGGGGCTGAGTGGGACGGGGTGGTGATGGCGCCAGGTGGCGCCCCCTGCAGAATATATACAAGTCCGTACGATGAGGAAGACAGTAACAGCAGTGGGAGAGCACCGGGGCCCCAGCGCTCCGGCTCGTGCTCCGTTTCCTGCCGTGAAAACTGCCCCCGTAGCCCGCTCCTTTAGTTTGCTCCTCCACCCCCACTGAAGCCCATCTCCACTTTGTGAGCGCCCGGTGGGGACCAGACCCCACGGCCCAACGGGGGCGTGGCCCCACTCCCCTCGTCGATGTTGCCCGCGCCCACCCCGGGGGACTCTCTCTTGGGCGGCAAGGCTGGCCCTGTGGGTCCCGGTCCAGCCCCGCCCCCACCCCCACCCAGGCGGTGCCGGCGCTCACAATGTCCACGGTGGCGCATGAAGCTGTCCCGCCACATGAACTTCTTGGCGCAGACGCCGCACTCGTAGGGCTTGAGGCCTGTGTGTGTCTTCATGTGCTCGGTCAGGTGGTGCTTCATCTTGAACTTTTTGTTGCACACGGGGCAGTCAAAGGGCCGCAGGTTGAGGTGCATGTTCACGTGACGATCTCGCATGCTCTTGTGGGAGAAGGCCTTCCCGCAGTGGCACAGAAAGATCTTATTCCCGTCCCCGCTGCCTGTCCCTCCAGGGGTCCCACCAGCGCCACCCGGGACACCCAGGCTCCCTGCGGATGTGCCCCTCAGAGTCACAGCCCCGTGTTCAGCTTGGTTCCCTGGCGGCTGGCCTGGAGCCTGTGAGGAGGAGGAAGGCGATGGGAAGACTAGGATCTGGTTGCCCTGCACGTCTACAGGAAGCAGGGGCCGTGATGGGAGGGAGGGGGCATAGGAGGAAGGGGTGGGCCTCCCTGAATCATCAAGCTCTGCCCCAGGACCCCCACCCTCATAGGGGCCAAAGTCATTGGAGGACTCACAGAAATTCACCTGCTCCTCTCCCTTGCCTGGAGGCTCAGTCAGGGTCCGGACATCACTTATGCTAAGGGTGGCCTCGGGTCCTCCCCCCGCTGAAACCCCCGACCCTCCCCCTAGCTCCTCTTCTTCATCATCCTCACAGGTCAAAACCAGGTCTTCCTCCTCCTCCTCTTCCAGATCTTGGTCTTGGGAAACCAGGGGCGCTGATGCTGGGCAGCTTCCACCCCGCTTTACATATATCCAGTGCTTCTGTGGCATGATGCTGGGGGGCGCATAGGTGGGCCGTCGGAGCCCCGCCCCAGGAACCATCGAACCCCTGCCGTCCCCACCATCATCGCACAGCTCATCTGCCTCCAGTAGCAGCTTCCCAGAGGTAGCGCTCCCACTGCCAACCACAGGGACTGGGAATACAGGGCCACCTCCTCGACGCTCCCCGCTGCCCACTGCAGAAGCCGCAAACACCTCTTGGGAGGAAGATGAGAAATCAGTAGACTCTCGGGGGCTGAAGTAGTTGCTGCTGCTGGGGGATTGATTCTCACTGGCCCGACTGGAGGCATGGGAGCGCACAGAGCCCACGGTGGCAGAGGCCACAGTGGCCCCACTCCCTGATGGAACCCCAGCACCAGGGGCAGTGACTGAGGAGGCTGCAGCCGTGGTCACGGTGGTGGTGGCAGAGGCCCGACCTTCGCGAAGGAGCTCCGTGCATTTATCCACAATGTGCCACATTTGGAGCACAGAACCCACTGTGAGGAAGTTGACAATGTCAGCAGCGGCCATGCTGAGGCGACCAGTGTAAGCTGAAGCCAGGACAGTCTCGAAGGCGCCTGGGTCCATGACGCTGGGCAGTGAGATGGAGGTCATGCCCTTGAGTAGGACCTGGTCGTGGAAGTAAGGGGAGGAGGCAGCCAGGACAGCACGATGAGCTCTGAACTCCCGGCCCTGCACTCGGATGGACACATCGCAGAGCTGGCCCTGTAGTCGCTGCTGATTGAGGGACTCCAGGAGGGCACTGGTTACCTCCGGGAAGGACACGTGTACCACTGCAGCTGCAGGCAGGGGCAGTGGGGGCGGGGCCAGCGACAGAGGCACAGGGAGTGCTGCCCCACTTGGAGACAAAGGAGATGGCTCCATGGTGTGGAGGGTGGAGGGAGGTGGTACCCCCCCAGCCACAGGAACAAGGGAAGGAGGAGGGCGGCCGGGGGGGTCTCTGGAAAGAAAAAAAGAATAACACAATGAAACAGCCCTTTACAGTTTAAAAATATGTTCACACCCATTTTTTGAGTAACTCCCCACACAATGCTGTGAAGTTAGGTATTCCTCTCAACACCACTTGAAAGGTGAGGAAACTGAGGCTAAGAAATACCAAGAGATTATTCATGGCCACAGCCATCAAGTGGCAGCGCCAGCAAACTCAGTTGTCCTGACTCCAATTCAGTGCTTTCCTTGGAGATTAGAGAAATAGGTACTCTGGGAATGGGGTGCCTCCCCTTGGAATTTCCCATTTGCCAGAGAGCCTCTTTCCAAAATTTACCTTGTTGATGTTTTGCACCCTTTTCTTGGGAGGGGGGCAGGTCTGCTCCGTTACTGAAAAACACTCTCTCTCTGCAGTTCCCTTTAGGCAATGCTCCAGGCTCTTTCGAGGGTCACGCCCCTTTTGCCCCCCCACGTCGAGACCCGCCCCCCAGCCCATTCGGCCACGCCCCCTTCAGGACCCGCCCCTGTGGCCTTTTGGCCCCGCCCCTTGTCTGCCCCCGCCCACACAGGGCCCCGCCCCCCTCTGCTCCGCCCCAAGAGTTACTTTGACCGCCTCTCCCACCCGGAAGGCGCCCCTAAACCCTGCGCGTCTCCGCTTACCGGGCCGCGCGCCCCGGGGCCCCCCCGCCCCTCACTCGGCCGCCAGAGCCGCAGCTTGGGCCCCTCCCGCCGCCATCTTGCGCCGACTCCCTCCGCCTTCCGCCTCCGCTCCGCCTCCTGCCCGTTCGGCTTTAAAGGCACAGGCGGGCACCCTGCTCGTGTCGCTGGGCAATACTTGGCCGACTCAGTCACTTCTCCTTTAAACACAGTTACTTCATTACGTCTTAAAGGTACCAGGTCTCTCCCGCCGCTGAGGACTCAGGACTTGGTTTGGCCGAAGCACTCGTTCTCCTTTAATTCTGTAAGCCTGCCTCTTCCCTTGGAGCTGTGGCCATTAGCGGGTTTGCGGGATCTAAACGCCCTAGAATCCCTGAAGTCCCGCCCCCTTCCTCCGGGCCTGGATTGGCCAAGTAACCTTGAGTGGGCCCCTGATTGGCCTCTTTACTCCTACGGCTCGAAGTGGAAAAGTAAAGAGCTCAAGCACATTTTTCCAGGTGAAACTCCAGCAGAGCGGGGCTAAGGGTAGGCTAGCAAGGACAGATCCAGGGCTACCGCGGGGCCGGCCGGCAAACCCTGAGCTAGAGAACAGCTGGTGCCAATTGGTGAGGGCAGAAGGACAAAGACAGGGATGCAATAAGAAAAGAACTTTATTGTTTAATGTAAAACAAGTTGTGTTTTTTTTTTTGGTTTTTGTTTTTTTAAAAGAAACACCACCAAAAAGGGATTAGCTCAGTCCATCCCTTCCTCAGTCATCTGCTTCCACATCCTATCCTCAAACATTCTGGAGTCAGGGAGTGATGGGGAGGCTAATCAGAGTCTGAGAGCACGATGATCTCCTCTGGATCGCACTGTGTGGCCACACTCATCTGTAAGTGAGTGAGACAAGAGTCAGAGAGGTCTGGAATATAGGGGGAGGAGAAACATAGGGAAGGACTTATTAAAGATTAAAAATTGGGTAGGAAGAAGGAAGACAGAGGATGTGGTGAGTGCAATATTCAGATGGTGCACCTGAAAATGAACAGACACGGAAAGAGAATGAAGTCAGGAAAAACAGCCTCCCCCTCTTACCTTGAAAGTGCTAGGCTGGGAGGGTTGTAACTGGGGGGTTAGGGACAACTGGGCTGGAGATGGGCTGCAGAGGGAGCTGGTCACCAGGCCATGGCTGGGAGAGTCCACTCTTGTTGAGGAATCAGCAACTGGTACCATGGAAGCCAAAGGGGAATGTGGGCTGGGCAGGGTACATATCTTCTTCCCAGTCTTCTCATGTACTTCCCTTTGCCCTTCCACATAGCTAGGGACAGAAACATAAGTGTAGGCAGTCTGGGACTGGAGGGAGAGTGTCAGTCTTTCCCAGCAGACTCAGTTCCTCAGTACTCCTCTTAGATAGCCCCCTGCAATCCCTCCTTCGATCCCCTCTTCTTCCTCCTTGTTGTTACCTGCTTCCTAAAGGTCCTGCTCCTGTTTGCCTCTCCTTCCGAAATTTTTTGCAGGGGGGACTAGAATTTCCCCAGGTGTGAGGAGAGACACCTCCATTGAAGGAAGTGGAGGTGACCGTGGCTGCTCCATTCTCCACAACAGTGGTGAGGGGGTCCTCTGATTGCTTCCTGGAAGAGGAAATGTCCCCCTCCTCAGGGGAAGGGGTGGTATCCACAGTCAAGGCTTCAATCTCGAGCTCAAAGACCTGAGACACAGGGCTCTCTTTCTCCTGGGGCACCTCCTCCGGAGAGTCTTCATTGCTTCCAGCATCTACACTGGAGAGTGCCAGGGGCTCTTCTGACAGCGAAGATGGTAACACTGTGAGTCCTTTGTTTTGCTGCTCCCCTGAAGACCCGCTGCTCCCTTTGCTAGGTTCCAGGTACTTTTCGGTGGAGATCTGTGGTGGGCACATGGGGCTCTGGTCTCCATCCTTATCTGAAAAAAAGAAAAGAGGGGAGGGGTAGCATGAGAACTAGGGGAAGAACACTGCCAAGAAGGGTCTCAAACAGGTGGCGTGCCCAACACAGGGAACTGACACGTGAAAAGACTTTCCTTGACATACCTGCTTCTTCCTCCTCTTCCTCCTCCTCCTCCTGACCTTCCAGTATCAGTTCCAGATCCCCCTCTTCTTCGGAATCTGTAGTCTCCTCTTCCTCCTCTTCCTCTTCTGCCTCCTCTTCCTCTTCCTCCTCCTCTTCTTCCTCCTCTTCCTCACTTTCCTCATCTTCTTCATCATCTGTCTCAGCCTTAGAGGAGGTAGGGTGTTCCTGGGATGCCATTCCACTAGGGCCCTGGGGAACAAAGGAGTTTCTCTAAGAAATCTCTTGCCCTGATCGGTGTTCTCAGTGGTTAGAACGTCCAGCCTACTCACTAAAGGGTTGCAGGTTCGGTTCCTGGTCAAGGGCACCAAGGACACATACCTCACCCCCCCCTTCAAACCTCCCTTTCCCCCAGTAGGGGTGTGTGGTAGGCAACCAGTGGATGTGTCTCTCTTACATCACTTTCTCTTTCTCTCCCTCCTTTCCTCCCCTCTACTCTCTCTGAAGAGCAATGAAAAAAATATCCTCAGCCCAGCCAGTGTGGCTCAGTGGCGGAACATCAACCTATGAACCAGGAGATCATGGTTTGACTCCCAGTCAGGGCACATACCAGGTTGCAGGCTGGATCCCCAGTGGGGGGCATGCAGGAGGCAGCTGATCAATGTTTCTATCATTGATGTTTTTCTCTCTCCCTCTCCCTTCCTTTTTTTTTTTTATTATATTTTATTGATTTTTTACAGAGAGGAAGGGAGAGAGATAGAGAGTTAGAAACATCGATGAGAGAGAAGCATCGATCAGCCGCCTCCTCCACATTTCCTACTGGGGATGTGACGGTAACCCAGGTACATGCCCTTGACCGGAATTGAACCTGGGACCCTTCAGTCCGCAGGTCGACGCTCTATCCACTGAGCCAAACCGGTTTCGGCTCTTTTTTTTTTTTTTACACTGTACTAGGATAGAATGAACCACCTCAGTAGCTTCTGAGGCTAATACATTTCTATCACCACAATTACTTTAGCAAACCTGGTTCCCTTCCCTTTCTGAAATCAATAAAAATATCTTTTTTTAAAATCCTCAGATGAGGACTAACAACAACAAAAAGAAATCCCTTGCCTCAGAGGGTCTGGGTCTATATTCCTTCTGCAAACTCCCCCATCAGTCACCCTAGACTCCTGCTGGCCAGAGCAGGGAAAGAACAAGATTTCTCTAAAGGGTGTATCCCTTCCACACCTCACCAGAATCCAAGGAGGCTTTGGGGGGATCTGGAGAATGGGAAGAGGTGGCTTGGGGGAGCCGGGCTTTTCTCTTCTGTCTCTCGCCCTCCTCACTCTTGTCTTGCATCATCGCATATTTGGAGATGATTTCATCCAGTCGGCTCAAAGCCAAGCTCCGGTTTTCCCTAAGGCGCCGGGCCAGGGCAGGGTCTGACAGAGCAGGGTCAATGCCTGTGTGGGAAGATAAAAAGTCAGAGTACTCAGCCCAAACCCAATAGAAGGGACTAGAGAGATGCCCCCTCTACCACACACCTGACATCTAAGGGTCATTGATGGGCATCTCACTAATCCCTACCTGGCCTATAATCATCTGTGAGATGACAGCCAAAGTTGTAGATCAGATCAAGGTGGCGTCGCTCCTGTAATCTGATGCCCACATCTCGAAAGGCATCTTGAGCCATGAGCTGGAGCTGCTGTCGGGGGAGGCCAAGGCTGTGCCGAACAGCTGCCTTCTCCACGGCCCGCAGCACAGCTCCATAGTCAGGGAAGGTATCAGGCCCTGGCTTGTTGATGAGCCGCTCAATGCGCCTGTTAACCTCTGGGTAGCGGGTGCCACGGTAGGGAATGCGCTGCTCTATGACTCGGCCTGTCAGCGAAGAGCAGTCTTTCAGCTCACACAGCCGCCCAAAGAGACGGATCAGCTTCCGCTTCAGCCTTGCCTCCTGCAGGTATGTGGAGTCTGGGTCATCCAGTTCTTGGAGATCCAACTCCTTTTCCTGCAGCCGTCGAATCTCTGCCACATAGAGCGCTAACAGTTGCTCCAAGCGCTGGATCTGCCGCCGGGAGCCACGGGTCCTTGGGGCCTCAGAGCCGGTGGTCTCGGCATTTGTGGGGTCTGAGGAGGGGTCTGCAGGAGGGTTACTCCCAGAGGGCTCACTAGAGGTGGTGGCCACAGGGGCAATGTTCATTTTTTTCTTGGCCGAGTGAGCCTTGAGAACAGTGCAGAGCTCATTGATGTACACGTAGAGCTTAGCCGGTCGGCTCTGGGCCCGAGACAGCACCCGAGAGAGGATGTTACAGAACTCAGCTGAGGCCAAAAACAGAGCGTGGGCACGCTGCTGCCGTTTACAGAGGAACGGGACCACATCAGGATGGTCCTCTGTCTGCGCCTTGCACAGTTCAAGGAACTGGAGGGTTCGGGGAAGAAGGGAGGGAGGGAGACAAGGGAGGGGTTGAGAGAAAGAAGGCAGGTAGTGTTAGTGAGGAAGAAAGGACAGGAGAGCCAGGCAGCACCCCTCTCCCTAGGATACAAGTCTTCCCCCCCAAAGCTCACCTCTTCAAAAAGCTTCTCATTCTCCAACTTGTAGCATTTCTTGCCGCCCGAACTACCATTCCCTCCAGCCCCATGGGGCTGAGAGGAGGCAGGGGCGTCAGCCGGGGGTGAGGCCGGATTGGGGGGTGGGTGCGAGGGCCCCGGCTGCACCGCTGCTTCGTCTTCGTCATCATCATCCAGCACAATGATGCTGTTATCGGCGGCCATGGAGGATCAGATCCCCCGGAGGGAGCGAGTGCTGGGGACTTGGTAATTCCTGCTGGAAGGGGACGGGGCCTGAGGAAGAGCCTCCTCAGCTGAGCCCCATCCCTTCAAGTCACACATCTCCCCATCTTCTCGGCTTCCAGCGACACCCAGCCCTGCCCGACGCGTCCTCGCTGCCTGTCCACAGCACACCGTGTTTGGGGCCCTGTCACAGGGAGTCCCAAGTCCCCACCCCCAGCTCCACCCCTCAGATGACATCCGGTCTTTCAGTTGCGTTTCCCCAATATTTCTCTTAATTGCCAAGTTGCCTTTTCCTCCCACCCCGGGCCACTTCCCACACTGCGCCCCACATCGATCTCCCCGCCCTCCGCGCGCAGACACTGGAACACAGCCTGTCACCCCGCCTCACCTGTTCCCCTCTGCCCTCCAACACGCCAGTGCACCCCTCACCCCTCCTCAAGGATCACCCCAACTCACAGACGCCGAGGCAAAGCAGGTTCCCTCCCAACAATACACCCCCCTTTCTGAATTGTCTCCCTGTTCCTCCCGGATGGGTCTCAACCCGGGGAGTCGGGTCGGACGTCGCTCACCTCAGGTCCCTCCCTCTCACCGCACCCTAATCTTCCCCATTCTCTCTGCGACCGGCGGCCGATGGCGAGCCCCGCGCCGGGTTCCCCCCGACTCCTCTCGGGTCCCAACCCCAGGTCGGCTCCTTCCCCGAGACGAGCTTCCCGCCAAGGCCCCTCCCCTACCGCAACCCCAAGGGCCACGCGAGGGGGCTAGAATAGGATCCCTTCTATCGAAACCCATAAACGCCGGACGCGACCAGGCAAGACAAAGAAGAGGGGAGAAGG